TCAGCACGACCATAACACTTGGAAGTCAATTTGGATAAACGCTTTTTTGCCGCCATGGCGTCTAAACGCAAACGAAAAGGACAATCTCTTGATCCCCCTTCTGAAAAAAAAATTCATTTGAGTAGTCAGTTTGATATGCTCACGGATGATGCGAATGATCCACCATCCAGTTAAAATTCCACTAACATGCCCAGCTTAATGCCAAGAAGATAAAGGTTCTCCATATCGTGGTAAGCAGTTCCGTTTTGCATACTCTTTTGAAAGGACTTCTGTTCCGTTCCACTTCAAGTTGACCGTCGTTGTGAATGCCAGTTATTGGCTGAAACCTTGGACGGATTCAAACGTCTTCTCAAGTATCTTACTGAGAAGCAGCACATTTTTTTTACTTATGACAGCTGAACGTCTGTTCAAGATTGTCTTGAAAGGTCTGCCCAGTGGTGAATCTGGCAAAATTTCTTGGAGTTGTGCCACTCAAAGTTATCAAAATGAAAATGAAATCCCGTCCTGGCGAGTCGCGCAACGGGATTTCTAATGTTTTTTATTTAGTTCACTTCAAGTCTAGTGAACTAAACAACCTCAAGGCCTTGGAAAAAGCTAGCCTTATGTTCCATGTCCGAGTGAAGTTGGAAATCTTCAGGAAGACTGGAGGAAATATCCAAAACTTCACCCAGTGTCCTAAGTGCCAGGTATGGTGTCATGGAATAAAAATGGCCACATGCCAGCTTGGTGCATGAATTGTGGTGATTTCTCTCACGCATACGCCTGACCTGTGAAGGAAGTTCATGAGAAATTTAAATTTTCAAGTTGTGGTGAAAATTACAAATCCAATATTTAAAAATGCACAGCTCATAAAGCGATCTTACAATCTCGTTCTAAATAACAGGTAGGAAACGCACTACGTTTCCGATCAGATACTAATTTGTCAGCTGTTCATACTGTTCATACTATCACCACAGACAAACAGACATAACAAATTGAATTTTTCTCATTGTAAAACATCGTCGCTAAAACATTACCGCCATCTGTTGAGTACACTGCGTTGGGTAGTACACTGAACAGATGGCGGTAGTGTGTAAACGTCAAACGCAAGGGAATTGACTATGCGCGCCACAGGTGGCGGTACTACCAACTACGATACTTTTAAATTGACCGTTAAATGGTTGTTCGATGAACAACTTGCTAGTGTTATGTCTGTTTGTCTGTGCTATCACGTTCAGCAAGAAACTAATTCTACAGTCGTACCCGTAGGCAGGAGTTGAAACTTTTGACGTTTCTTGACGTAGGACTACGTCTGTGATTACTATATGCGGGCACACTTTGTGAAAACCTAAAATGGAACATGTAACAAAATTATGAAAGATTTTTAACGTTAATAACTCAGCTGCCCATGGACAAATTTCAGTAATTTTATCACCAATGGATCCGAAATATGTCTACGCAAATTAATGACTTAATCATTTTTTAAAATTTCACTATTGAAAATTGCACGCATATGCAATTGTTGCTATGGTAATTAAAATTATCACCGATTGCCTACGAAAAGCGATTTCACTAACACATTTGAATTCAATCCGGTCTTACCCAACGGTGTTTATACAATCACCGCGTGGTGAGTGGTGGCGTTCTCCAGTACACAACCAAAGGCTCCCCGTAAGCAGCTAGCTATCAAGGCTGCCCTCAACCGCTGATCGGATTCAGTCCAATCACCGTGTGTGGAGGTATTCGGTCGTCGGCATCAGTAGCAGCAGTGCTTTCGGCACGTGACGTTAAACAGTATTATCCAGTACACGACGAAAGGCTGCCTGCAAAAAGTGAGCTGCAGCCCACATCTATGACAAGTGCGTCACCCTCATTACAAACAACATACAGCTCACCAGCCTTATATGGGTTCAACACACTAATAGCTCAGCATTACTCAATCATTACGACAAAACGGATTCCTACAAATCATCGTGAGAAGTCATTGTTTACAAAAGCTGTTACGCCTAAGCCCAGCTCTATCTAGATATGTTTAAATCTAATATACCATGTTCTAGAAGCAACATTGCATAAAACCAAAGTCGGTCGCGGCATGAAAGTGGTCTTATTTTGATCCAGAGATGTTAGATTTTAATTCTTAATGCGCCAATCGATAGAAATTTTTTCTTCAATTCTGTTAAAATTAGGATTTTATCATTTTTCAAAATGTCACTATTGAAAATTGCACGAATCTGTAATTGTTGCCATGAAAATAAAAATTATCACCGATTGCCTGCGAAGAGCGATTTCCCTAACACAGATTTCAAAATTAAATTCCATCCGGTCTCACCAAACGGTTTTTATTCAATCACCGCGTAGTGAGATTCTTATTCCTACACAAAACACAAGCGCCTGCTGCAGTTAACAAATAAGATTTATTATATAAGACCACGTAATCTTACGTCACCATTGCGTACAACCCCATAGGGCTGTACCTAATAGTTTTTACTACACTCGCTTCGTCGCCTCGCGCAACAGTCTGTTTGTATTTGTACTCTCATGCTCTACCGTCGTCTCTCTTATACAACACAAATTATAGAATAACATTCGAGCAAAAAGAAAATTATCAAATAACTATCATATGACATGTGTGATTTCATTCTAATTCCTCATTTGGTGTAAATTAAACCATCGTGGGCCGATTTAAATGATAAAAATATCAAATGAAAGGTTATTAAAAATACTTTTCAGAAAAAAATATAACAAGTTTATTAAATTGAAGTTTTGTATGTTATTGTATTAATGATCAAACTTTATTTTTTATTGATGTTCAATGACTACAAAATAAAAGAAAATTATTTGATAAGGCTACCGGTTTTCCAAATGCGTGTTTCCCACCTTCCATAAGATTTTGTACCGCTGTTGTATCAACCTTATTTGATGCTGAACGTCTATTGGCTTTCAACTGTTTCTCATTTCCAATTGTTTTCTGAGTTTTTTTGAGGTTCCGCTTAACGATTACCCAATATTTTTCAATTGTGTGCAGCTCCGGTGAGTTTGGAGGATTTTTGTTCTTGTGTAAAACTTGCACGTTGTTGGTGGTATAACGTTCCTAAACCATTTTCCCGTAGTATGCGGAAGCGAGGTCTGGCCAAAACAGCACGGAACAGAGGTGTTTCTTCAAAAAAGGCAACAATCATTTTTGTAAATCTTCCTTTACATAAATATCTGGTTGACAATGCCAGTTGTCACGAAAATTTCGCTTTTCAGCCCACAGGTGCAAATCCCCTGCCAAACCAAGTATTTTTTCGGGAACTTTGATAACTTTTTCTGCTTAAAATTATCTTGAACCGGTCCTTTTCCGGCAACCGTGTAAACTCTTGACCTGGAAGCTGCTTGAAATCCGCCTTAACGTATATTTCATCGTTCATTATAACGCAATCAAATTTCTGAATTTGTGAAAAATTGATACGCTGTTCCTCTTTCTTCGACGCCATTTTGACAACTCAATGGAAAATTGCAGAAACTAAATAGAGGCAATATTCCGTACGCACAGACCTACAAAATGAAGGGTGTTCAAGTTTTAAAAATGCACGTTTAAAAAAATTCGCCAATTTTTTTACCGTTCTACCCTTTATTTCAAACACAACAAGATGAGCCACCGGTCAACAAAAACACAGCCGACATACTCCAATCACTCGAGAACAAAACGTATGCAAAAAACAAATTTAATAAAAATTATCGCACGCTACGCCCGGGACTATTAATGATACGCAACCGATCCGGGACTAATAATGATACGCTTCTCACACAACACTCTATTGTTTATTGAAATAATGAACCATTTAAAAAGCATGACGAAGTTATTAATTGTGTTACATAATGTAGTTACTACGCTAAATTTAAGCAAAATATTAACAGCTTGCATCCAGACCCATTAACTCTAATTACCTCATATTTTATTTTGTCCGCTTCTACCTGTTTGATGTTAACCGGACATGTAAAAAACACAAACACGATATTATACCTCGAATTTTCTTTACCCCATCTTTTTACATTGTTACCCCAACTACCACTTCTACCATCACCAACACCACCACCACCGATTTTACCACACATGGACACAAATAGGTAATTTCCTTTTATTAACCTTGGTTTTACTTTCATCCCAAAACAACAAATCCCTGGCTGTTTTTTTCCACCCACCTTGTTATGTTTGACCATTACAACGCTAATGATTTTAACTAGCCCACCGGCCATTTCCGACCACGTCAGCCACTGAAAACAACTCATTCTCACCAAACCACCAAGCGTAAACCGCCGCCCCACTCAATCACCCACTGCTGGTGACCATCATATAGCAATCACAGTTTTGTTTTCCTCCCACCCTTGATATACATATTTGATTGTTGTTTGATATGGTGGTAGTTGTTGATTTTGGCACATGAAGCACCCTCACAAACCGGGAAAAAGTGGAAAGAAAATAATTGGCACTTGAAATTGATCCACCACACGTCGAAACGTTTCAAACATTGGGAAATGCATTCAATGTGATTGAGTAATCTGATGTGTGTATTCGATTTCTTTTATTTCTGTTTTCCATCCAAATAATAAATATTCATTCAATTTCACGGCTTGACGCATTAAAAAACTTATTCACTGTATTCATTTTCAAACGATAAAAAACCCACAAGTGCAGCACAGTGAACAAAATCTGTAGAAAATGTATCAGAAAATACGAAACTCAATATGCACAGCAAATCGAAATTTTGGAATCTTTTCACCGAATTCAACCACTTGTTTGAAGCACATTTCTGATTCTCTGTAACGTTGTTGTTTTTCCACATTTCACTTCCACCCACTACTAACTGATAGAATGTGTGTTTGTGCCCCGTTTCCAATCAATTCCATTTCAAGTATCCTCTCAATTCGCTGACAGATTTTTCCCACATCCATAGCAGGTTTAATTAACAGGAGCAATCTGTTCTCTCTTTTATTTCTCTGCCTCGTTGTTTGTGCTGATTCAATGTTTCGGATCGCAGTTTCTTTGGCCATTTCAGACATTCAGCAACTCGAAAGGCCATCAGCTGCTAATGGACCACGAGTACAGCCACTTCGATTCTGAACGAGCCGAGAAGGACGAACCGGCCAGACCAGTGAATATCTACGAGCTGCTCAAGTCCAGGGACAGAGCGAGATCGAATGCCAGCGAGGATGACGATCCGAATGTCAATGATGAACGAACAGCAGCAGCCTTGGAGAGCATCGAGTTCGAGTGGATGACCACACCCTGGTCGGAATGCTCGCAGACCTGTGGCGCCAATGGCAGTGGCTATCGGGTAAGTCAAGTGAAGTGAATCCAGCGATTGGTTTTTCGCTATCTTTGTGGTCATGAAATGATTAGCCCTATTATGATGGTTACTTATGATTACGCATCTACGTAATCAGATACTTTCAGAGATTTTGAACTTTTTAGGTGCATCAGCTTCCTAGCCAAAATGATTTGTTTTTCTTCTTTTCGGGACCTAACACCACTGCGACCAGTAATTTGATCTATTGTAGTATATCCCGTGTCTTTAGTTTAGTGCATGTTATATTACTCCATCACTATTGAGAAATGATGAAGTATTTGATTTTTTTTACAGTTGTCATTCTCGCATTTATCGCAAGGATCCGACTCTAATAGAAAGGTCCCGCTTTTTATACCATTCGGAGTGTTGAAAGACCCTCCAAAGGCGCGCCGCTTTGACAATCAAAATTGGATTCCTTAGTAAAAAAAATTAAGGAATGACACCGATAATGACCATGCATCAGAACCCTAGTCTTAACCACTTCAAACCAGGGAACAACGAATGGAAGATTAGGAATCACATAAATGAAGACTAACAAACTCATTTTTTCCTTGTTTCAAGATCATCCTCGGTCCAGGCAACCCGAGGACTTATCACTATCAACAAGGCACACGGGAAAAAATCCGATCTCCGAAATGAGATAAATGACTCATGATTTCATGAACACAGCGTATTTTCATGTTATGAAAATACACCATGAATAATATTCATGATATCATGAGCAACTTTTGCGTAACGCAGCAAACATTCCCAAAATCATGAATCATCCGAGTTGAAATCATGATCTAAATTCATGGGTTTATCTTTTAAAAATGTAAAAAGATTAAAATAAAGCATCAAACTGGATTCGAACCAAGAACCTTGAGATCACTAAACCCATACTTTGACCACTAAACTATCAGTACTTGTATAAGATGGAAGGCAAAAGGCGAATAAGAGATGCCTATGTAGTTCGGTTTATGAACACGGTTTGCCAAGTACGTGTAACGCTTTTAGCGGTCTTGATTCCTCTGCATTACGAAATCATGAATTTCCATCCCGAAATCATGAATCATTGTTACGATTTCATGGGATGGCAAGTTTTTTCATTTCATGATTTTTTATTCATGAAAATGGAATCGGATTTGTTTCCGTGCATAAAAAGTAACAAGGACTAAGATGTGTTCCTTGGATTACTGAAAAATCCTGTTCCCCTAGTTTGAAGTAGTCAAGACCAGGAATCGGCTGAATACTCCCGGCTTTGCTCAGGAAAATTTTACGCCTTAATATGCTAAGTCACTTCTCTCTACTCACTCACTTACTTATTCCTCATCCATCAACTTCTCAAACCCTGGCGTATCATCCACTTACCCATACACTCATAGTATCATTCTCTCACTTTCCTTTCACCATTCTTGTCTCAGTCGATCCAATAGAAAAAAAAATAGGTTTAGCGATTAGCAAACGTTCTCGTTTATATATTGAAGAAATCAATCAATCAATCCGTTGGAAATCTACTGTGATACAATTGTTTAGAATTTCAGACTTTTGGTCAGCTGCTGAACATAAGAGTATTTGGCCCATGAAGTTCTTGGGTTAAATAAAATGTTCAACACCTGGAATAATTTGAATGAAATGTCTATTGACTTTCGTCCTTTTTTCTAAACGCGTGTACTCAGTTGTGCTCAATTGTAATTGTAATTGTAATTGTAATTGTTCAGTGTATAGGTTGTGCCAACCGCTAAGTTGGCTTATCTAGGGACTAACCCCCTAGTCTATACACCTATTCCCGTTGCACTCGTCAGCTCGTGCGATACTCTAGACACACATGGGTGGTCGTATCCGGGTCCTCCCCTGGGTAGGCTCGTGTCCGTCCAGGTTCTGGTACATTAACTTATATCTATGCATGGTAATTATACTTTGCAACTCACCTTTTGATTATAAATGTCGATAATGCTGAAACTATATGAACGCCAGTGTTTTCACGAATGAGAGATTAACTGACGAACACGTTACCTTAGCAGCTAGTAATGTTCCACTGTACGGTCAAACACTGGGTGCGATGGATGTCAACGTCGAGATGATTTCCACTGCCGCATCACAACTCAAGTCGTCCTTCAATCCAGGACCCGATGGCGTTCCATCCGTATTCCTGAAAAAGCATATCGCCAGCTTGCTGATGCCTATGCTGCACCTATTTCGATTGTCCATCTCGAGTGGTACATTTCCATCTTGTTGGAAATTCGCACATATGTTTCCTATCCACAAAAAGGGCAGCAAACGGGATGTGGACAATAATCGTGGAATTACGTCGTTGAGTGCAGTTTCGAAGTTATTCGAGTTAGTCATCATGGAGCCTCTACTCTCTCATTGTAAGCAGTATCTAAGTGGTGATCAACACGGCTTCACTTCCGGTCGTTCTACTTCCACAAATCTGCTGTGTTTGACATCGTATCTTACGGAAAGCATGGCAGAGAGGACTCAAACAGACGTCATATACACCGACTTGTCAGCTGCCTTCGATAAGCTAAACCATGCCATCGCGATTGCCAAGTTGCATAGACTTGGGGTCAGCGGCAACCTCTTGCGATGGTTTCGTTCATATCTCACTGATCGGCAACTGATGGTTGCCATTGGTGATAACCGGTCCAATATCTATCTAGCTACGTCAGGAATACCTCAAGGAAGTCACCTGGGACCTTTGATTTTCTTACTCTACTTCAATGACGTGAACTTGGTCATCGAAGGCCCACGACTATCGTATGCAGACGATCTTAAAATCTACCTACGAATCCACTCGATTGATGACTGTCACTTCCTTCAACGTCAGTTTGAAGCCTTTGCCAGCTGGTGTAATTTGAACCGAATGGTGGTTAACCCCACTAAGTGTTCAGTGATCACTTTTACTCGGAAGAAAGAACCAATCACATTTGAATACAAACTTATCGGCACTGTAATCGACCGTGTGAACCATGTGAAAGATCTGGGTGTTATTCTGGATTCTCAACTAACGTACAAGCAGCACATCTCGTACGTTGTCGACAAGGCGTCTAGGACATTGGGATTTATTTTCAGGATAGCAAAGAATTTCTCCGATATCTACTGTTTGAAGTCACTGTACTGTTCCTTGGTGCGATCCATTCTGGAATATTGTTCTGTAGTCTGGAGTCCAAACTACAACAATGGTGCTGAGAGAGTTGAGTCCGTTCAACGCCGTTTTCTTCGATTCGCTCTACGGAAGCTGCCTTGGAGAGACCCATTTCATCTGCCCAGCTATGAAAGTCGTTGCCAGCTGATTGATCTGGAGCCTCTCCGAACTAGAAGAGACACCTCTAGGGCCCTGTTCATTGCGGACACTTTACAAGGTAGAATTGATTGCAGTGTAATCTTGGGGCAAGTCAACATTAACGTCCAACCCCGTGCGCTACGTAACAACGTTATGCTGAGATTGCCACTTCAGCGCACAAACTATGGCATGAACGGTGCAATAGGTGGACTGCAACGAGTGTTCAATCGAGTCTCGGGCATCTTCGATTTCCATATGCCCCGACAGCTGCTACGAAGATACTTCTCATCGTTTTTTTTCTGGCACAGTTAACCGTGAATGTTTGTGTGTTTTATTTATGTATTTTATTCTTAGTTTTTATTTTTTGATTTATAAATCATCATTGGGGCTATACACAGCCTGTTGATGCAGACAAATAAATAAATAAATAAATAAATAAAACAATGTTAGTGATCATTATTAGGTGTGTGCTGCAATGGAGTAGTAATTGAAGGAAATGACGTTCTCATGTGGCTTATAGGTAATTCTAAAATAGGTAAATCATGCAAGCACACACCTTTTACAATTCTTAACCTACTTACCAGTTCCGTCCAGTATAAATTGGCTGTTTCCAAATGGCCAAATCCTTTCTGACTGCTTACTCTCTTACGTTTTCTCGCTTTTTTCCTTCTTCCTATTGAAAATCTGGCCGTGTTCCCATTTGTTCTCAGGTAGGTAATATTGGTACATGAGGGGAAGAAAGAAATAGAACAAGTTAAGTGTGAGTTGCATGCGTTGGTTAGTCGTTTGGGTCATGGTGTTGTGTTCCCTATTTTATTTGCCTCTATTCAGCTCTCAGATCACCCCCTCCCCCCAAACTATTGCGGATGAAAAAAAGAACCCATATTTGGTAACCTCTCGCGAGCTGCAATGCATAAGATATGAATAACAAACAAATCTAGAACGGGGCTTAAACATATAACATTTTCTAAGACTGAATATGATTATTTTAGTATGAATAATGAGAATTTTATGAAGAAAAGACGATCCCAAAAGAAAGTTCCCTAGCAATAAAACTATTACTCTGGGCATCCATACTCAGAAACTATACCCGACCTCAACAAACTGTACCAAAATCAGAAAAGCTAAACTACTCGGTAAGATTTTGGCATTTCTATTTAATTGTATTAAGCTATCTCACAGAGACCAGATGTCCAAGTTCGGTCAGAAACTTGTGTAAAGTTAAGTGGAAACGTTGCCGTTACGTAGCGCTAGCATCTCCTGATTTCCTCTATAAATTTATCACTTTCGACCAATTTAGCGCTAGTACCGATAAATTACCTGCTGAAAATTGCCACTTGGCGCTACCAGCACTTAGTGTCTAGTGTAAGTTTTGCAACGCTAGCGCCATCATGTTGCCAAAGAGGGTTTTTAAGTGGGGAAGTCGCCGTTAGTGGCGCTTAAGTCGAATAGGAATCTTTACACAAGTTTTTAGAGAAATTTTGGAGCCTCAACGTCTGTTTTCTGTGGCTATCTTATATCGAGCTCTTTTCAATAATTGCAACATGTGAATAATGCAGAACAAATTTAAAATTGTTCTAGTGCCAAATTGGTTTTGAAGGTAGGTCAAACTACAAACGAACAGCTCAGCCGCTCTGAACCCTATGAAAATTATGCTTTCTAAATATGGTACATTCACTCACTATAAACCTGTCCTTTCTAGCCTATCTGAACTATTTAATAA